GGGGGTGTGGGAATGGGGCTGTCCCCCTTTTTTGGGGTATGCCTGTTTTGGGGAGAGGTGTAGGATGGGGTTCTGGGGGGACACCTCACCCTCAGTGGGAAGAAGAAGACCTCGTTCCACTCAGGGTTGGCACTGGGGGGCATCACTCGGGTGCAGAGCTGCATCGGGCAGAGCCGTGAGCCCCCCACCATCACCCGGCCCCCCTGTTTTTCCTGGTGCGCCCCATTCCCTGCCCAGCACCCACCGTCCTGCCGGCAAAGCTGACCCGCACTGCCACCTTCCCCGAGCCCCTCCTGATGCCGAGGCACGGCCGCACCGGCTCCACTGCCATGGGAAGGGGAAACAGGTGAGCAGGGGGGTCCCCCAAACCCCCACAACCCCAAACCCCTGTGCCCACCCTGCGGCAGGTCCTGGGCGCGGTACACGCGGATCTGCAGCGTGGTAGCACATGGGGGTGGGCGCAGCAGGTTGGATTCCACGTCCTCGTCCCCCGCTGGCACCTCCTGCTCCTTGGGGAGGTGTCACAAATTAGGGAACCCTGCAGGAAGGTTTTTGGGGTGCTGAGGGTTTTAGGGGGCCTCACCTGCACTCTCTCCCCCGCCCGGCGCACGGCCAGGCTGACCTGCAGGTACCCCTGGGAGTGGCTGTCGCGGTGCTGCGGGTGCTGCAGGCTCAACCACTGCCAGCTCAGGGTGCGCCCTGAAACAGGGGGAGACCTCGTGATCACCTTGGGGTCACCCCAGAGTCACCCCGGTGTCACTCCAGTGTCACTTCAACCCTCTCACCCACCTGGTGCAGAGTACACAGTGCCGATGTCGAGCTGCAGGGATGGCAAAGGGGTGAGAGTGATCCCACACCCCATTCCCAACAACCCGTTCCCCATGCCCCATTCCCAAAACCCCATTCCTGATGCCCTGTTCCAGACCCCCCATTCCCAACATCCCTTTCCCAACACCTCATTCCCAAGGCCAACTCCCAATGCCCTGTTCCAGTCCCCCAATTCCCAATTCCTCATTCCCAAGCCACATCCCTCACCTCAAAGGTGCCAATGACAGGTTTGGTGCAGAGGTTTTGGGAACGGAGCACCTGTGACAGGGAGGGGACATGGCATCAGGAGCCACCTCCTGTCCTTGTCCCTGTCCCTGTTCCATCCCTGCCAGTGCCACCAATCCCTCCCACCTGAATCCGGATGGGCTGTGCCACCAACTGCTCTGGCGTCTCGTGGAAATTTTGGCAGAACACCTAAGGAAAGGGCAAAGAGGGTGAGTGTGGGCTGAAGGACACTGGGGGTGTCCGTTTCCCCTCCCCGGGGTCACCTCGTTGAAATAGGGGTTGTTCCCTGTCCGGCTCCGGGTCCGGAAGTGCCCCTTCCCTATGAGCACCTTCACCACCGGCCTGATGTCGTTGCCCTGGAGCTGCCGGGCCCGGATGATCCTCACCCGGACCTGCGGGAGAGGGACAGGGACAGGGTGGGCTATGGGTGGGATGTCACCCCCGGGGTCTTGGGGTCCAGGGGTCTTGGGTTGGGTTGGAGCCCAGGATAGTCTTCATTTGGAGTCCAGGACAGGCTTGGTTTGGGGTCCAGGATAGGCTTGGTTTAGGGTTAAGGGACTTGGTCTGGGGGTCCAAGAGGTTTTGATTTGGGGGCCCAGGGGGATTGGTTTGGGGGTCCAGGATAGACTTGGTTTGGGGGTCTAGGAGGTTTGGTTTGGAGGTCCAGGGGGCTTGGCTCAGTTCGGGGTCCAGAATAGGCTTGCTTTGGGTTCCGGGGGGATTGGTTTGAGGGTCCAGGATAGGCTGGGGTTTAGGCCAGGCTTAGTTTGGGGTGCCATACCTGGAAATCCTCTTTCCTCTCCATAGGGGCCCTGCCAGAGCTCTGAGGTGGCTCCAGTGCCCCCGGCAGTGCCACCCATCCCTGAGGGGTGACCGTGGCATTCCCAGCCTTGCCACAGGGGGTGTAGTAACAGCGGAAGGTGACGGTGCACTGCAAAGGGACAGTGACACCCCAGTGGCCCTGGTAGCACCCCAGGGTGCTGGAGGGGGGCTCTGGGGGAGGGGGGCTCACCCCTGTGGGCTTATCCCAGTGGTCCAGAAGCAGGACATCCCTGCGGGCCATCGGCAGGCTGGGGTTGGCCACCAACTGGTCCAATGACACTGTGGTGCCACCCAGGTCCCTGTGGGGACACGGGAACATGGTGAGGGCGGCTATGAGGCGGGGGTCACCCTGGGGTGCCCACCCACACCTGCCACTCACCCCCGGGGCACTGGGTGGTCCCAGTGCTGGAGGCGCAGGCTCAGCGTGTCTGTGGGGCTCAAGGGACACTCGTCCAGTGACCACACCAGCTCCTGGGGGTTGGAGGGAGGTGACAAGGGGTCAGGGGGGTAACCCGTGTGTTCCTGTCCCACTGCAGGTCCCCCTGGGGTCACCTCACCTCATTCCAGGTGGGGCTGCGCTCCTCAGGCACCACCTGGGTTCTCCTGGAGGTACCTGTGGGGGGGACAAGAGGATGGTGGTGGCACCTCAGGGTGGGGTCATTGGGGTAGCAGGGTAAGCCTGGCACTGGCCCAATGCATTGGGACACCCAGGGCTGTCCCTGGCTGTGGCCACCACCATCCTGTCCCACTGGGATGCCACCCCTCACACCAGGATGGCCAATACCACCCAGCCCCACAGGGACGGCCACTGCGGTGTCCCCTCCCCGTGCCCAGTGGTACCTCGGAAGCAGACGGACAGATGGACACCGGGACCAAAGCCGGTGGCCCCGGGGATGTGGACACTGACCACATGGAGCCGCAGCATGACCAGGGACTGTTGGCACTGGGGGTGGCGGCAGAAGTGTCACGAAGGGGCTGCCACCAATGTGCCACGCCTGAGGTGCTGTCACCGAAGAAATGGCTGCAGGTTTGTCACCAAGGGGCTGCCACCAATGGGCCACCCCTGAGGTGCTGTCACTGGTGATGGCTTCAGTGCTGTCCCAAAGAAATGGCTGCAGGTTTGTCACCAATGTGCCACCCTCAAGGTTGTCACCAAGGAGGTGCCACCAATGTGCCCCTCCATGTGCTGCCCCCAAACTGATGACACCACAGCAGCATAACGGTTTGGTTCCCATGTTCCAGAATGTCAACGGGAGGGAGGCAGGGCAGGGACTGTTGGATGGATAGATGTCACTGTGTCCCTGCGTCCCCATGTCTCTGCCATTGCGTGGCCATGTCTGTGAGCAGCCAATGTCCCC